CAATCTTTCTTTCCTCTGTTTCTTCCTCCTGGCCCTCCCAGCAGGCTAGAGCCCCGTTTCTGCTCGCTGAGCGGAACAGCCCTGAAGGTCCTCCTCCAGAGAACACAATGTGTAGAGGTCTTCTAGCGGTAGCTCATCTTATTTGGCAATGAATGGTTCATTGCATGCCAAGGTCACACAGGGTCCTAGTTTGCCGTGAGCAGGACCATTCCAGTTTTAAAACTTGAAGGTCCCTGTCCTGGGAAAACTCTCCGTCCCAAGCAAACTGGGACAGTTGGTCATCCTACTTCATTCACGTGGACACTATTGTGACATTACTGTGCACTGTTTTTCTCACATTTAACAGTTGAGCCTTGTAGATGAAATTGTAAGAGTGACCCTGATACATAACATGTCGTCATTTATGAGTATGGATGTGTATTGAAGGCTCTTTGTATCTTCATAGGGTGGAGGTAAATGCAGCATTATGTGTTTGCCCCCTGAATACACATCCACTAAAAGACTATGATTGGACCTCAGCCATCACATCTGCTCTTGGGGTGTCACACCAGAGTTCTAGGTGGACCCAGAGTTGCAGAGACAAGGTCAGGGGAAGGAGCCGAGAAAGAGGTTAACAAGACCGCAGATGCTGCAGATGGGATTCACACGAAGATGTCCTTCCCACCAGCCAGGCCATCGCTGGCTTTGTAAGGTAATGAGATTAGTAACGTTAGAGGTGTTGAAACACAGCCCGAGTGGTCGCTTGTACACTATGCTGCAGAGAGGAGGGTTCAAATGGTTCCAGACAGCCCTGAGATTCACAGGATTTGTGCACAAATCAGAGGTAAAGAGCCCTTAGCTTTCATGTGAATACATAATTCCCTCTGATGTGCGCAGAAATTCTCACCAAAATCTTGTGAATTTCCAGCAAGTGTTGCGAAATACTTAGAAACTCCTCCAAGAAGTGAGCAGGTCTTGTCTGTCCTATCTCCCTTTTCTCTCCTTGAGTCTACTCCAGTTGGGTTTTCTCCTACACCACTCCACTGAAACTTAGGAGTTAACTGAACATGAACCAATGAACAAGTGAAAGTAATGTTTCTTCTAGTTGCATATGACTAGCTGTGTGATTAAAATGACCAAACTGGCAAGTTGTGTTTAAATGCTTAATAAAAGCTAGGTTTAAATTGTTAACTTAAAAAAAACGAATAGAAATGAAAACCCAGAAAGCTACACTGTCATCTCTCAGCACAACTTTCATTCTCATATAAAGAAACTCATTTTCTAAGTAGGAAGGTTGTTCCAAACTGCCGGAGATTCCCGGGAATGAAGGCCCAGGTTTTGTGGAGTTTCCATCGGTCTCCTTGTAGACGCAGCCATCTGCCACCAGGTGGCAGAACAAGACGAGAAAACGGTGCCCCACGGAGTCCCTGAGCCCCTTCTGCTGCAGTTTTTGAGTGAGTTTTCTCAGGGGCCGGGATCTGTCCCGGGGAACCATCCCAAGGTCTTGCCCACCTAAGATATTCCAGGGTGTACCCAGGGCCTGGTCCGGGGTTTCTGACGTCTACGATGACGCTTAAGGCAGTGACATGGATCAGCAGGGCCTCTGGGCTAGGAGACTCGATTCACCTCCTCATTAGTAACCCTGGGATGTGGTAGTAGGTTGCTTTAGTCAGGACGAGGGGCCAGTTGTATCTGTCAGTATGTCAGGGTAGTGACATCTGTGATTCTGCAGGGACATTTGGACAGCAGGGAATCAGAAACGTGGGAAAGTGAGGGTCAGCAACCGAAAACCTTGCCAACTGCTATGGACTGAATTGTGTTCCTCCACCCCGCAATTAATGGGTTGAAGCCCTGACGTCTAATGGGACTGTATCTGGAGCTAGAGCCTTTAGGAGGGAATTGGGGTTAAATGAGGTCATAAGGGTGGAGGCCTGCTCCGACAGGATTAGTGTCCTTATGAGATGAGACGCCACAGAGCTCATTGTATCTGTCAGTGTCTCGAGGTAGTGACAACTGTGATTCTGCAGGGACATTTGGACAGCAGGGGTGTCTCTTCCTCTCTGCATCGCATGCACCCAGGAAAGGCTGTGCGACATCTTAGCCAGAAGGAGGCCAACCATGACCAGAGCCTTCACCAGAAACCAAATCGGAGAGCCTTCACCAGAAACCTTGATCTTGATCTTCCCACTTGGCAGCACTGTGAGAAAATAAATGTCTGTTGTTTAAGTCACCCAGCCTGTGGTATTTTGTTATGGCAGCCCGAGCGGACTAATACACCAACCGAGAGATTTTTCAAAGAAATGAGTCCCGGGCTGGCCCAGAAGGCCAGGCTGCTCAGTCCCCCGAGCCTGATGGCAGGTGAGGTGGACAAATCTGCCCAGCTCAGTCACATTTTCTTTTCTTTCTGAGTCTCCTTTGAGAAAATAAGCTGCTTCGGTGCAACTGCCTTGAAGGGACGCAGAGTTCTGCAAGGAGTCAGGGAGGGGCTGTGAGTGACGGTGATAAGACTCGCCCCGGAATCCCCATCCTGCAGATGGATGGGATTTATATCAAGAAAGGCTACCATGTCAGTCCCCAGCTTTATGCCGTGTCTCCCTCAGCTGAGATTTAAACAAGTATGTAGATATTCAAGAAAAAGTTGATTTTAAAATTTGGTGCGGATGTTACAGGGAGGAGGGGTCAACTGGATTTTGCCAGCCCTGAGATTGAACTGGATAAATTACAGGTAAATTATATGTGTGAAAGCGCTGGGTACATGAGAGGATCTCAATACAATTTTCTCGGCTTGCAAGCAAGTTTCGCAGAAGCTCCTGCAAGAGGGGAAGTGACTCGTATTATTAAGAATCGCAACAGTTTCTTTTATTAAAGACCTGTTTACAATATTGTCTTATTTACGCAAATACAGATGATAAAACAGTAGTCTCCCTTGTCCACCCCTCTCCATCACCAGCCCCCTCAGCAATGGTTTAATGTGTTTCCTCAAAAATTCCTCAGTCAATGCATTTATATGCATATACATGCACTAATAGAAACATGCGCTTGCCTTTCGTGGGGCCATCCAGATATATATTGGCTCATGACGCACGTATTGTGTGGCACTTGATTTTTGCATTTTACAGCAAGTCTGGGTGAACTTCTCCTGTCAGTTCACGAAGAACTATCTCATCATTTTTAAATTCTACACAGTGTTCTAGGTGATATGCCATACTTCTTTAACTACTTCCATGCACAAGGACCTTTCACATTTTTCCCCCCAACTTTTAAAAGGTCTCAAAAGTTTTTCCAATATCCTTGTTCACAGAGGATGTGTCACTCTAGAAGAGAGACACAGAAATGGACTTTTGGCACAAAACTCTACAAATATTTGAACCCTGAGCAACCATTGATAAATGGATCTGAGAAGAGGTGGGATCAATTTAGTCTCTCAGGGGCAGGGTAGGATAGTGTTCATTGTCCTTCACCGTCGCTCTTGATGTTTTTCGTTCCTTTAAATATTTGCTAATCTGGTGGTTGATATATGAAAGGTTTTGAGACAAAGCCTTCCTTACAGAATCTGTGAGGGTCCAGGGCTGGTCATGCCCAGGCGGGTCATGCCCGACATACTCAGATGTCGCCTCCAGTGGAGCGGTTGGGGAGAGGCCAAGAAAGGCACAGCAGAGTACAATGGAGAGTGACAGGAGGAAGTTTCGGGGGCCATGAGAAGGCTCAGAGAGGGCACCCACTCAGCCCTGGGAGTTGTAATGGAGTCAGTGGAGGTTTCCCAGAGGATTAGATGCCTGAAATGTGTGAGGAAAGAAATTAGTCAGGGAAAGGGAGAGGAGGAACAGCACTCGAAGCACAAAGACCAGGCCACTGAGATGATTTTGGAAACTGCAAATAAGCAGAACCAGTTTCTATTCTGTGCACTTGTCGCAGTCAAGATTGGCTACCATGAAGTGGTGCAGGATTAGAAACGTGTGTCCCAGTGGAGACCGTGAGTTCCTCTGCTGCAGTTCTCTAGAATGAGGGTGCTCGGTCAGGAGCGAGCCTGAATTCCAAGGTCCGGCCCTTGAGGATCTTCTGCGTTTCATCAAGGCCCTGGCCTAGAGTTTCTGAAGTCTGTCGTGGGACTTAAGATAGTGAGATTATATATATATATATATATATATGTGTGTGTGTATATATATATCTCAGTATATATATATATATGTGTGTGTGTATATATATATATCTCAGTATATATATATCACAATATATATATCAATATATATATATATATCACTATATATATATCAACATATATATGTGTGTGTGTGTGTGTGTGTGTGTGTATGTGTGTGTATATATATATATATATATATATATATATATATTTTTTTTTTTTTTTTTTTTTTTA